GCAGGGAAGCCAGAGCTTTTCTGCAATGACCCTATCATTCATGAGTGCTCCTTTGGCATCTCGATGGACCAGCGCTCCACTGGTTAGTTAGCAGGGTTCCTGCTTCTTGTGTACTTTTCTTTTCTCCGATTGCTTTTTGAGTTTTTGGCGAGTTCGTCTTCACATTTTTTCTGGCCTAAATTGTACACGTCACTTGCCAGAGCGGATGCTCCTTTCTATTTTCCTCATTAGGATGTAACTTCCACTTTCTCTCTCACCGCTTCTCTTTGTTTAGCCAAGGTGCTGAATTTTTGGTTCTCTGATGTTTTTAATGTGGGGTGTGTGGGAGGTGGGGAGGGATATATTTAGGCTGAGGCTCTATCACAGAGCCTTTCAAAAGTTTCCATGCAGCCTGCTGGGATTTCACGTCTGGCCCAGCACCTTTTCATTTCTCTTTAGCCGACTGCCTCAGTAGGGCCATTCCAGGAAAGGTGAATGGGGCACCTGTTCCCCCAACTTTCCCCCATCTCCTGTACCCCGTAGTGGCACGAACAGACTCCACCAGCCAGTAGAACAGAGGGAGTTTATTGCTTCTCCAAGATACAGCCCAGCACAGATGTAATCTGGTTCCAGGGCAGGCCTAGGAAGCCTCAGCCCCCCTTGAGATGGGGGAGCCTGGGCCCCTAAATCCCAGCCTGTTGCCTAGGCTGCTTCCTCCATGATACCAGACAGAAACTGCTCAACTTCCAGCCCTGCCCCCAGCCAGGGGCTGCCCTCACCTTCCTCCCTTTGTTCCTCTCCCTGGGAGGTAACCAGTAGATCAGGTTACTTACCTGACCCATCAGCTACTCTGCTGGGCCGTGGTACAGACAGCACCAGGGGGTCACCCACAGCCCAAGCCTAGCAACCAGCAAGGTACCAACACTACGTCCCAGGCACCCAAGGGCGGCAGAGAAGCACCACCTACGCATTTACAGTGGCGGTGACCTTTTCGTTCATTTCAATTGGTTCTTTCCTGTGTGTCTGGGAAGGAAAGAGGCCGTCTCGTCAACCTCAGAGCACCTGGGTTGTCTGGTTGATCGTTGGATCAGCTCAGGGTTAGCCCTGGAGCAGGTGAGTGAGCGTGGGCAGGCCAGGAAGCATCCGTCTCCTCAAGGGGCTGCAGCAGTGGGAAGGGCAGAGGACTCCCAACAAGCCAGCAGCTTCCCTGGCGGCCAGAACACAGGCGAGCATGGCTGCTCCCACATCCTCCATGGGGGGAGGGGAGGTCACATCAGCTTCTGCCACCAAGGTCTTGGTGCCCTGTCCCAGGCTGCTCCAGGCAGGGCACTGGCCTCCTTCCTGTGCACGAGCCCCACCCCTGCCGCCAATGGCCTCTGAAAGCCACCCCCAGGGGACAGAGGACTCACCCTTCTGAACGACGTGCCAGGGGTTCAACACGGACGCGCAGGGGTAGAGCGCGCTGGGCACCCCGGAAAGGGAGCGAGAAAGCTGCCCAGCCCTGGCACCGAGCAGCCTGCAACCTCAGGTCACCCGCTCATGCAGCGGCTCCTGGCGGGCTGGGGGCCTGTCAGCCCACCCTGGGCCCTGCACCCACAGGCTGGGCTTCTCGCCCGCTGTCGGCTCCTCTCCAGGAGAGAAGCCTCACCCCGTTCATGCCCTTACCCTGCAGGCATCTCAGCCTATCTTCCCTCCCGGGGCTGAGCTGCAAAGGAGGGGCGGGGCAGAACCTTGCCCAGGACTTCCCAGGCTCGCAGCCCTGCGGGAAGAGCAGGGGGGAGCGTTAGAGGAACCTGCCGGTTGTGAGGGGAGGGGACTAGTGTCCTGCCACAGGTGGCATTGACTGGAGCCCCTAATGGCACATGCACCAACCACCAGACCAGCGCAGCCAGCCCCCCCACTGCCCTGGGAGCAGCAGATGGGCACAGGCATCCCGTACTAGAGACCAGGCTGGTTTGCTGCCTGGTGCCAGTGAGGTCCGCTTCTGCCAGGCGGTGCAGCAGCATCTGCTGTTTGTTCAGCTACGCACACACCTCTCGGCCCTGCTGGGAGGAAGCGCGTCGTGAGCCCCGCTGCAGGGCTAGCTGCAGGTACGGGAGGGAGGGGATTTCATCCTGCTGGCGGCAGCCGCATGCCCCGCTGGCACTCACAGGCCACTAGCAGCACCGTCTCATTCAGAAAAGAGGCAATAAACGTGATGGGGGGACATGGAACAGCTTCCCCCTGCAGTGAGATCAGTGACACCGGAACCCCTCAGCTCAGAGAAGAGAGGACTAAGGGGGGATTGAGAAACCAGAAAAATCACAACGGGTGCAGAGAAAGTGAATAAGGTCAGGCAGAGAATAAGAACTAGGGGGTCACCCCATTAAACTCATGGGTGGCAGGCTAACAACAAACAAACAGGAAGAATTTCTTCACACAGCACACAGCCAACCTGCGGAACTCCTTGCCAGGGGATTTTGTGAAGGGCAAGACTAACACTAGGTAAGTTCCTGGAGGACAGGTCCATCAATGGCTATTAGCCAGGATGAGCAGGGATGGTGTCCTGGCTTCTGCTGGCCAGCTGCGGGGAATGGGTGACGGGAGGGATCTCTCGATGATTCCCTGTCCTGTTCACTCCCTCCAGGGCAGTGGCACGGGCCACCATGGGCAGACAGGACACTGGGCCAGGCAGACCTCTGGTCTGGCGCAGTCCGGCCGTTCTCCTGGGCTTACCAGGACTCCGGCAGTTTGCAAGGAACAGGGAACGAGCCACCTGCAGACAAGGTTTTAGGATTTTATTCAGGACCATAAGTAAGGGTGATGGATCCGTTTCCCTCACGTCCCACCCAGCGCGCAGAGCGGGGAGGCTGAATAAGTTAGACGGCAAAGGTATTCCCTGGAAGGGCAGGTCAGTGCAGACAGCCCAGTCCTAACAGGGCACCGGGCACGGAGCTCCATTTTGGAGAAGGTCGAGGAGAACAAGGTGCAGCCCACAGGCCAACGTGGGCTACAAGAGCCGCTGGCAGCACGGGCAGCCACCTCCATCGCACAGACTACAAATCCCAGCATGCAGTGCTCTGCTCCAAGCAGCCAGGCCGGAGCAGTGCATCTTGGGACCTGCAGTGCAAACACAGCTGCATCCCCCCCAGCCCACCCAGGCTCGGTGCTGCCCTGGGGCACCAGGCAGCATTTCTCCAGGCAACACAGCACGGCCATCACTCCGCCACAGGCGTCACCTGCCTGGCCGCTTCCAGCCGCGCCAGCATCTCATCCCACTGCACGAACTGCTTGGACAGCAGCAGCGTCTGCAGGCGGCTTTTAAGGAAGAAGGGCAGAGGGTGGCACAGACCCGGCCGCGAAGCAGAGGCAGGCAAAGCCCCAGAGCCTGACCCGTCCGGCAGAGAGCACAGACCTGTCTGGGGGCCACCGCCTGCGCCAGGCTCCGCTGACCTGGACCCGAGGCGTCTGAGCCCTGCGCTGCCGCCAGCCGGGCGCAGCCATCAGACTGCAGGCCAGGGAAGCCCTGTGCCGAGCCGGAGGAGTCTCTCTGAGCTGGGATTCTAGGGTCCCCGAGGACAGCGAGGCTCGGTACAGAGCCAGAACAGCCCCCCGACACCCTGGAACTCCACCGCCCACCCCCGACCCTGCTGCACCCCGGGAAGAGGCCCAGGGCCTTCCTTCAGGCTCCCCACTTCTCATGCTGAAGGCAGCAGAGCCACGAAGCTCCGGCAGCTGCTCTCCGTGCTCAGCAGCCCAAGGGACCCCCAGGCTGGCAGCTCCAGGGCAGGATTAGCCCTGGGCTCGGGGCTGTCAGAATGGAGAGGCCAACGTCCCATCACCTCTGCTGTTGTGGGACCAGGCCTCAGGGTTTCTAGCCCCACGTGAGAGCTCCTAGAGCCGCCCCCGGGAGGCCAACGTCCCATCACCTCTGCTGTTGCGAGACCAGGCCTCAGAGTTTCTAGCCCCGCGTGAGAGCCCCTAGAGCCACCCCCGGGAGGGGAGATGGGGCTAGCTGGGCCCTCAGAGGACTGGCAGCTGCAGGGTAACACCCCCCGCGGTGTCTTGCACCCCACAGAGGATGCGCCAGAGGGGACAGCTCCATACGCAGGCGGCTCCCTCCTTTTCAAAGCCAGGGCTAGAGCAGGCAGCTACCTAAGAGAGCGGCTGGGCTGCAGAACCCTGAAAGCCCTTGGCTGCCGCTTGCTCCAGCTACATCCAGACTGAGCATGGCCCTGCAAGTGGCCGGCGCCCCACGCCGGCTGGGGCAGAGCCCGTGGCCCTAGACTAAAGGATACCATTTGATTGTAGTCTTCCAGGAGCGCCCGGACGTTCTCAGTGACGGCTTCACCCTGGTCCTGCAGCAGAAGGAAGCTCTCAGTGAGCAGACAGGCAGTGGCACCTGGCCTGGATACCTCCCCTTCCAGCTCCACAGCCCTGCAGGGCACCTACCTCCCAGCCCTGCGAGGAAGGGAACTATCCTGGGGAAACTGAGGCAGCGGAAGAGCCTGGCCCAGGGCAGAGCTTGGCTTAGCATCTGGCCGGTGGGGGGTTGCTGCAGAAAGCGTCTGACCGTCACAGCAACGGCCCAGCACATGAGGCGTGGGGAACACCAAGCACGAGGCACCCCTAGCACAGGAGCCGGCAGGGTGGGGCAGGAAATGACAGCATCGCCGCGACAGCAGAGCGCCTTGCTACTCCCTGCAGGGCGAGCCACTGGCCCTTTGTACCCCGAGGCTCCTGAGCAGAAACCTCTGCTGACTCACGGCACGTTCCAGGACAAACTGAGCCCAATGTCTCAGAAATAAACTGTCCATCCTCACAGCCAGAGGGCTCTGGCCTGTGCTACCAGTTACCCCCTTCGTGCCCAGCATTCCCTGTGGTTAACGAGAGGCCCCGTCCCTGCCCACTGTAATTAGCCATGGAACGGATTCACCCTACCTGCTGCTGTATGTGGATCTGAGTGAGTCGCTGCAGCTTGGCAGCATGGTCAGGAACAGCTGAAAGCCACAGAACAAGTCAGGCGCTGCCCAGCCCCGACACCCAGGGAACGGCCGTTCCCAACGTCAAGAGACGAGGGTCTCCGAGCGCACTGACACCCTTCCCTTCGGGGTTCGCTCAATGCGCGGCTTTGGCAGGTGAAGCCGGTCACAGCTCAGAATGGCCGGAGGACAAACACGGCTGCCCACCTGCCCCACCGGTCCCTGCCAGCACCCCAGTCCAGCCAGCGCAGCGGGGCCTGGGGACACTCAGTGGCAGTGCCATGGCCGAGGGATACATGCCACTCAAGGCCAGGCCGTGAAGCTGGCAGCCGCGCCACGCTGTGCGTTGCTCTGAACGCTGCTCGGGCGCCTCCAGCCTCCCAGGCTGCAAACTCTTCTGAGCTGGACGCTCCGACACTGGTGCCATTTCCAGCCACTCTCAGTGCGAAGGACACCGGGAGGGGCCACTGGACTGAGCTCCGGCAAGGGAGGCTGCAGACGGCGCTCGTTACCTTTGATGTGGGCGCTGTCCAGGTACGGCTGGAGGCTGTGCACCTGTTCCAGGAGGGCAGCTTGGCTAAGGATAAACTGCTCCTCTGGTTAAAGACAGACCAGGAGACGTGTAAGGAAACCCTGCTTCAGCCCTTCACACGTTAGAAAACAGAAGTCGATTCGTTGGCCTGGCTCAGCTTCCCCTCCTCACCCGGGATCAAACCTACCTGCAGCCCAAAGACTCCAGCCCACGAGGCTTTGCATGACTAGCGCCCCTTCCAGCCAAGGAACTCGGTGCCTGTCTCAAACACCCCCCACCCTTCTCTGGGTAGGCAGCATCAGACGGGTCATCGAAGCTCACAGGCGGCACACAGGAAGCCAAGGGAAGAGCCGGGAACAGAACTCAGGAGGGCCCTCACTAAGCCAGCCAGGGGAAAAGCACATGCCAGCTGTCACTGGCTCACTCATTCCTACGACAGGGAGTGGGGGGCGACTCAGGCCCCTTGTGAGACCTGGCCGGGTTTAAAACCTCTGGGCCTGGATACTCAATGCCACACAACACGGACTTTAGTGTTTATAGAGCAGCTGTGTTACCCCAACAGATGCTGGACTTCCAGCAGTAATTCCACACACCCCTCTCCCCCCAGCTTCTGAGCCAAGGCGCAGAGGGAACCGATGTCACTCCTTAAACACTCAGGGATAGCCTGAGCAGCACTCCTCGCACAGCGACCGGCTCCACGGCCTGAGGTGCATTCCCAGGGAACTGAAGCAGTAGCCAGTTTACTGAGGACGACTAGACGCCAAATGAGGGTGTCTAAGCCCATGACTGAGAGATGAAGAGAGCTGCATTCAATTAAAACTCCCCACCCCCAACTTGTCTTTGGAGCTCTGGGGGAATGAAGATACCCTCCTGCTCCAGGCCTTACCTGCTAAAATGAACTGCAGTTTCACGGCATCGGGAACGGCCATTCGGTCGATATACTGAGGGTCCAGGTACTTCATTAGATCTTCAACTAGTATCAGATGTAGGTTAAAGGGAGGGAGAAGAGAAGTGACTAGTTCTGGAAGCACTGCCAGTCACAATTTCCTACTTACTGCAGGATTTTGTTAAAGAGACTCAGCAGCTACAGTATTTCTACACTACCATGAACTCTCACAGCAATTCATACAACATCCGAGTGACACAGGCTGCCTGTAAGAGCTGACACACCTGAGCTGGCTATTAGACAGCCGTTCAGGCGACGAAGATGCAGAGATTCCCTCAGCGGGGTTCAGAGGGAAACGGCTTGACTCAACAGTCCAGTCACTGCTGCCCCCGTTGTTTGATCTTATTAAAACAGCGTGCGCACACACGGCCCAAGCGCAACAGGCACCCGTTGCTAGGGATGTGAGGGCTTACCAGTTAGGGTTCGCCAGTGGGGCTGGAGCAGCTCCCCTCCTGCCACAGGTAGGCTGCTCCAGCCCCACGGGGCCCCACAGACAGAGGCCGCTCCACTGCTCTCAGAGCAAAGCCTGTTGGGGGGCAGGGCTTTCCAGCCCAGCAGCGGGCAGAGGAGCAGCTCACCCCCCTTTCGTCGGTTAACTGGGATGTAAAATCCCGTTATTTACACAAAGTCCCACTAATCTGCTACGTCTCACATTAGCCAGTTTTGAATTCAACAGCAGAATCCACAGCTCATCCTTGAAGGGAGGGCACCGAGCGCTCACTTGTGGCAGACTCCTGCCCCTCCCTCTGAAAGGCCTTTCCTTTCCACCAGAAAGCAAGACCCATAAGTTATGCTGAAGCGCCCCCTCCAGGCACGGCAAGCTGTTCCTCCCTTCGGTTCCAAATATCCCAAGGCCGCTTGCAAGCGGAGTTGTCCTTAAAACCCAAGAGAGAGAAATGAGCTCGAATAGCAGGAGAAGCCAGAGCCTGGACGTGCTGCAGGTGGATACACACTGAGCACGGCGAAGCAGGCACATCCCTTGCTGATGACACCAGGCCCACAGATCTGAGGGGGTCTGCCCCCGGTGATCAGCACAGGGCCCTGAGAAGGAATCAGGGCGAGGCTGTAGGTTTGGGAGCTGACAAGACAGGAACCAAGGCGATTCCTCACTCCCAGCCTGGGGAGAGGGGCCAGCGGGTCGGCTCCCTCCTGTGCCCCCCGGAGCCATCAGGAAGGCTGTTCTCACACTCCCCGCCGCACAGCACCCCCTCCCTAGGGAACTCATTCCAGTGCTTCACCTCCCTCCTAGGGAAATTATTTTTCCTAATATCCCACCTAGACCTCCCCCACTGCAACTTGAGACCATTGCTCCTCATTCTGCCATCTACCAGCTGAGACCAGCCTCTCTCCAGCCTCTTTGGAACCCCCCTGCAGGGAGTTGCAGGCTGCTTTCAAATCCCCCCTCACTCTTCACTTCTGCAGACTAAACAACCCCAAATCCCCCAGCCGCTCCTCATAGGTCATGCGCTCCAGCCCCCTAATCATTGTGGCCTCACCAGAGCTGAATAAAGGGGAATAATCACTTCTCTAGATCTGCTGGCAATGCTCTTCCTAATGCAATAGTTATGCTTTTGTCATAAGCCTCCAGCACTGGGTAAATCTCCGGAGAGGAAGGGCTAAGCTGCCTGGGAACAGGCTAAGTAAGGGCACTGACCCTGCCTTGGGCTGGCAAAGGATCTTGTGGGCCACACTCTGCCCCTCCCCCACTTGGAGGACGGACGGCAGGGAAAGACTCCTGTACCAGGGATGGGTCCCCCGGGGAAAGTTGAGTCCTGGGGGATCAGGAGGCAGCCGGTGCTTTCAGAGAGGGGCTGCATCAGGCTATTGCATGGCCCCATGTCCCTCTCTCAGGCCAGCAGGGAACCCAGCACACCAGGCAAGTGCTACTGCAGAACTCGTACCAGGCAGGAAGCCCCGTGATTCCGGTCCCAGGGTGGGGAGAAGCATAAAGCAGCCCTGAGACCACAGGCCGTCAGATAGACACCCTGTCAGCCAGCCAGCGGCCATGACCATGGTGGGTTCTTCTGACCAAGCGGACCCCATATCCCAGCCCTGTGTGGGGAGCCCAAGAGAGGGTTCTGCCCTGGGGGTGAGAGAAGTAGCTAACTCCAGAAGGAGAAATGCATTCCTTGCATGCTCACAGCCCTGGGGTTAAGAGGCAACTCCAGAGGGGCCTGCACCCTCCCTCACCTGCCCCTGGGGCACCAGAGCCAGAGACATGCCTGAGTAAGAAGCAACCTGCCTCACAAGGTATGATGAAGAAGCTTTTGTTCTATTTGTGTGAGCGCTACACGTGCCTCAGTTTCCCCTACAGTTTGCATGGCTACCCAGGAGTGGTGGGGAGGGCCTGGCTACATTAAAACACGAGTGGTGCTTCAGCGTGGCGCCCCACACCCACTTACCTCCCGTCGGGCTGGGCCATACTGGGGCCTGTGCCGTGGTCGTGTTTCAAAGCCCTCAGGGGCGTGGGCGCGGTACCCAGCTGTCTCACCCTGAAAGGGCCATGGAAAGAGCACTGGCCGAAGCCAAAGCAGGGCAGCTTCGGAGAAGACAATGGACATCCAGGACGTTGATGCCCAGCACCCAACGCCCAAAGGGAGCTGGATTTCCCTGCTTCGCCTCAGGCAGGCTGGGCACTGACCCAGCGCCAGGACAAAGGCCGGGCAGGGTGAGGTAAGGTAAAGGGTCGGCTTCTGGCTCACTCACATGGCAACACAGGACGCCAGACTGGGGGGGAGACACGGAGCCTGAACGTGGGACTCCAGAGCTGCTCTCTAGCCTCCGGTTCCCCAGCCGACCTAGGGATGTTCAGGTCTGGTAGCGGACTAGCTGAGCTGGACTCACTGCAGGGAGAGACCAGGTTACTGGCACTGAAATCGCAGAGCTGCAGAGACCCCAGGGCCTTCCCTCATGTGACTGTGGCGCCTTGGGGCCTGGCACAAGAAAGGGGCGCTCTCAAGGAACTGGCGACAGGCTGGGCATAGGGCAGGCTCTGGGATAGGCCAGGGGAGGGGGTTGCATGTGTACATAGAAAAGAGGTGGGAAAGGGGAGAAGGGAAACAATCTCTTCTGAATGCTGTTTGTGCCTCAGTTTCCCCCATGTGCTGCCTCCGGGGTGGAAAGGCACTGTACGCTCTGGGGCAGGCTGCCACAGGTGGGAATGGTGCCTTGCTGCTGGCACCATGTGGGTCATTGGGAAGGGGCTAGCCAAGGCTGACCCCGTGACATTGCAGAATCCGTGACAACAATAGCAAAGCCACTGACTGGGACTTTGGTGCCTAGCAACCACGGCCCATCGATTGCCCCCCAGCTCGGCAGGGTGCAGAGCAGCATTTCCCCAGGTGGAGAATCTACTGACCAGACACCCAAGGTCCGGTTCCTGCAGGTGGGGAGGCAGGAAGGAGCCGGGTCACCACCCATGCCACCCCCACTCAGCCGGGGCCACCTCCGACCCGCAT